TCCAAGAATGCCAAAATTCCTTTGACTTTGACTTTGTCCAACGCCTGTTCATCTTGTCTCTACCTTTTACTGATTTAATATGAAAAGCTTTGTCTGTTCCGAGTTCCCTCAGACCCATTTATATTATTTTCCTGACAAAGCAACACTTAAATAACAGGCAGAAACACCATCATCTCAACTGCAGCATGAGTCATAACTAATTTGATATACTGTATGGACATACATACATAGCTACTGTAAATATTCCGCCCTGGAGGAGCAACTTTACATAACAATAACCGTGTAGAAATTGTCATGTGTTGTGCATTAACCTTTTGTTCTCTGCAGCCTGTTTAGCGAATGTATGTCCTCCGCTGTGTGCAGACATGGCAGGGTCAGTGAACCTCTGTTACTGTTTATCTATCCATCTCTGTCTCTCTTAACAATGTGTTTCAGCAAAAACACTTTGTGAATCATACTGCATATAAAAGTGCAGCATCTAGCCATGTACATACTCCTCTTACCTCGATAGCTCTGGCAATGATGAGCGGGAGCGCTGGCTAATGCTGTAATTCATTCAGTTTTACATCACCTCAGTGTCAGTGTTGCACTGTCTCTCTCCCGAGAAAACACTCATCCTCTGTAACCAGTTATTGTTCAGTTAGAAGTTTCGCCAGCCGATTTTCAGATTCAGATTTTCATCTTATTGACTTTATGTCTCTGAACGCTTTGGAAACAGGACAGGATTTTGGGGTGTAACAAGAGAAGAAAACAAGATAGTTAAGAAAAGCCATGACCTTGTCCTCATGGCAGCCTGGGGGTTATACTATCTAGGCTAGTGAAAGGGGGGCTTATCAAGCCGACCCTTTGCAGCCTCGGATATGTGTTTCCTGGCACCAGTTCTGTAATAAATACATTCATTTAAGTTCAACAAAGGCTGGCCAGAGAGTGTTTCTTTATTCGTTAAACCTTTTACGCCTGAGACAGTGCTTTGATCGCGCCGTACACTCAGAGAAGTCCATACGAGAGTGAATGCCTCTCAGTGGAGAGTGAATTTTGTGGGTGAGAGTTTTGTTTGATTTCAGTTTTTGCTCTTTTTTTTCTTTCTCAGACACCCCCATAAAATGAAGTGCAGACACACTTGAATGTGCTCATAACTGCATACTTGCATGCAATCGAATAGGCTCAAAAACACTCAATAGCGATGTTAACAAGGCCGAGGGTAAACTATTTACAATATAAGCCAGTGAGCTACTTTTATTATGTGTGTGAGTATGTGAAGCCTTAACTTTGAAGTTCCTCTGCAGGAGCACTTTTGTGTTTTTCCTTGTCAGTGAGTCCTCTGCTAAGCCTCCATCTGCCTTCACACTTGATGCTGCAAAGTTGTCATTTGAGGGGATCAGGACTGTGTTGTGCAGGCAGAGCGGGATGATGCGTCACTCTCAGCAGATGATGATTCAGCATAAACTACATGGAGATGGATTCTTTATTGTTAATCTGTTATTGTTAAGTGCTGAATTCTATGCAAAAATAACATGTATTTAATGCATACGACCTATAGCAGACACAAGTGTAAAATGCAGGGCCTTATCATCAGAATATTGATCTGAGAGCTTCTGGAGCGGCTTTAAGTGTCATCTGACCTGCCAGCACTCACACAACAATTTTCCAGAAAGCTTTGTAGACGGGCTCAGATATCTTTGTTGTCACACATTTCACTGTGGTGTGAACTAAAACCTCTGAGGAGGAAATTAAAAATTAGACATGCAGGGAACAACCTCAGATGACTTTTCTGAGCTGCTCCACTACAAAGACCCAATCTTGAAATAAACTAAACTAGAACCAGCAGCAGCTTTCAGTTCAGGAAACTGTTGGGACCCTCTACAGCACTGCCTACTTTGATACAGTGTTTGTCCTAATAAACTAAGATAGCCTTTGCTTTCTATGGAACTGACAGCCTCTAAAGTCACACCGTTCAAAGCCGCCAGCCAGCATCCTGGATTGTCATCAAAGTGACTGGCTGCTCCGCTGGCTAATGATAAAGGTCATCCACTCTTTTTTCATTCCCTCTTTTTCATGAAAGAGAATGCCATCATGTTTTCTCTCTTTTTTTGGGGGATTTATAAAATTATGTTTATAAATCCAAACTGGACACAGCAAAAAGTGGAACAAGTGTGAGACAAAGAAAGGAAGTTTGAAGTTTAGGGGGATTTTGGGGGAGTTTGCTTTTTCATGTTAATAATAGTCCGTTAATGTCGTTCTTTCTTCTTTGTCTGAATCCCCCTCATTATGGACTATTACATTTTTCCAGTTTCCGTATTCAGTAATCTATACATAGCTGCTTTTATTCCATAATTACCGCTGAATAGCTAGGCTGCCATTCAAGTACATGACCCCCCTCACCCCCCCATCACTATCATAACTAACGGCTTTTGATAAACTGTCCTTTAAATAATCCAATTTGTCCCGCTTGACCTGTGGGACCTTGCCTTACAGGCTCCACAGAACACTAATGTCACTGTCCAGCGGCCATTACAGGGGTCAAGTTGCGATGACCCACAGAGATATGATCATCTCCCCCACTGCCTACTGGTCATGCTAGTTAGTATGTTGAATGTTATGTCACGTGTAAAGTGCCCTCCCTCTCAGTCATCTTCCAAAACAAGACCATGTCTGTCAGTCATTTGTGGTCGGTGTTTGGTCAGTCTGCAGTGGCCCTATTTCTGGATCACCCCTGTATTTATATACACCCATCAATCTATTATGGGGAGTAAGGCCATTCCCAGCATGCACTGGGCTAAGCCACAGTCCAGTCTGTCACTGTGCAAACGGATAAAGAAAGGCAACCAAGAGTTTGGTTTTAGTCATGAGGATTTAAGGAGTTCTTGAAAATAAATAAATAAACATACATTAATGCTTTTTCCTGCATTTGTTCACATTTATATCACAATAACATTTTAATTGATCTAGCAAATAATACACTGATACATAATGATTGGTTATTGGATTATGTATTTTCACATAATAGTAAGAGTCTTAACAAAAGAATTACAAATACAATGTGTGCTAAAATGGACTAACCAGAGTTTTAATCCCATTTTACTTAATGATAGATCAACTTTGATTAACGTTCAATTTTAGCATCATTTTAGAAGCAAATTATAATTACATGAAGTCAACTGTAAATTAAAATATAAATTAAATGTTTTTTTGGTCTGTCTTGATTTGAAAAAGTACTTGTGCATCTCACAAAGCTTATTGCTACATTTTTAGCAACTCAGAGTTTCTCTCATTTGAATTATGACATCTGGACAGAAGGATGACACTGTGAGTAAATAAAGCTGTAACAGTAGAGTGACCTGTTTGCTCCCATTTCCCAGGGATCCTTGCAGAGAACCACATTCACATCCGCCGGCAAGTTCACCTAATCTGCAATACTTTTTCCCCCCTTTATCAGGAAATCAAAATTTAATTATGTTCAACAATTACCTTTTGTTTTTTCACAATACTCTCTCTCTTTATTACAAGTAAACAAGTTTATTATCCCAGGATAACAGGATACATACCATCATTGTTGCCTCTCCCAGGCACATCAGCTCTAGTGGGTTCTCTAAACTGCAAAAACAAATCTTGATCCGTGGAAGAGTAAATCACAAATCCCACACAATATTTTAGCAGTGCATTTATGTGTAATAAACCACAAAGTAAGGTAAGATAAAGGATCTTATGAGGAAGGACATCAAATGATCCACAGCACAGAACTGCTAAATTGCCTCCATATTGCCTCATCTACAGTTAATGCGCTGAGAGGTTGGTCACACAAATGTGCTGTCTAAAGTGCCATCAGGCAAACATGCTGCAGGATTCTCAATTATGTTGAGTATATAGAATAATTAGTGTTTTTTAAAGGATTCTGTTTGTTGACAATTAAGCTCAATACATCCATGTTCCATGTATTCAAGGTATACTCTAAATAAACATGTTGGTTTAGTGCGTCACTTTCTACAATTGCCTTCCTTTTTATGTACTTCTAAAAAAAAATATGTCTCATCTCATTTAAAAGATTACCATCTGTTTTGAGACTTGATACCATAAGGGAAATATCAACCTTTCACATAGCACATAGCGAATTTCACATTAGAAAATCACAGGCCGGACATACAGACTGATAATAAGCCACACTGACAATGAAACCTGAAGTATGGGTGCTTAATGCGTGTCTGGACATGTCTTTTCATTTTCTTCAATTTGGACTTGTAACTCCAGTCTGTGTGGTTGTTAACACCCTCTATTGGTTTTAGACCAAAGACATGCACAAAGTTGGGCTAAAGTTGCCCGGGCAACAGCTCATTTGTCCTCTTTGGCTGAGCTGCCCTTCTGGAGAAGTAATTACTAAAGTTAGACCAAATGAAATTGCTGTATCATCCAAACTTATATTATTTTTTGATAGGCGTGCCTCCATGGCACTCAGAGATATGGCGGTCCGGAGCCATAAAAAGAAAACATGACACAAAGCAATGCCCTAGGCCCCTGTCATGTGACACTGTAGCATCCAAACCTGGATTTGTTGCTGTTGTGTGGGGGCTCTGGGTGAGTCTTCTGAAGTTGTGGAAATAATTCATGACAGATAGTATAACCAATGGGATGCCCTGTGAATAAAAATCTCCAAATATGCTTCCGAACAATGCACAGCTTGTCAAGTTTGCATCCCGTCACGCAATATTGCCTTATATTATGCTATCACATGAACCAATCTTAGCCGGCTAGCTAGTAATTTTTTTCTGGTCAGACCAACAGCCCCTCAAAATGTCTGTGCACATATCTCAGATATATTGGCTCAACTAACATTGTCACATTATCAAAATTATTACAACCCAAACAGAGTGATCGAGGACAGTAAAAAGCATTGTATAGCAGCTTTAAGTACTGTATCTTTTTATGATCTGTCCTTGCATAAACAAGTATTGTAAGCCCTCTCTCTCTCTCTCTCTCTCTCTGTCTGTCTGTCTGTCTGTCCCCAGTTAGCAGTGCCTGCCACGCTCTTTTGGACAGATTTCTGGAGGAGACCTTCTCAGATCAGCCATTTCCACATCATTTGGGCTCAGAAGATGACAGTAAGACCTTTGTACACACAGACACACACACACACCTACACACACACACACACACACACACAGAAAACAAGTATTCCTGTTATTATCTCTGTCATTTTTATCATTGTTTGCAATTACCTACATCAATTTAATCTGAAAATGTCTTGACTGAAAAGCACAATAAAGAGAAGAAACTTTGATTGGGGGACATACAGCAGAGATCCTGTTCAAGGTCAGGATGGAATGACTATATTGCCAATTATCCACCACAAGGAATAGAAAACTCCTCATTATCAAGTTCAGCTGTAAGTTTGACTCAAGGTGTAATAACACTGCTCTGTTAGATGATGAAATTAAAAGAACAAAGCAGCATGCTGACAGAAGGGAAACACTTAGGCACAGAAAAAAGGCAAACCACACATTTTTAGGTCATTTTTGATCAAAGGAAGCATATTTTTAGTTGATTTATGACAGAAGTAAATTAAAGTGGGTTTCAATAAAGTTAGGATTTAATAATGTGTGTCATATTTCTGCCCTTTATCCCCAGAGGGATTCATATGGTTGTTTGCCATATTAGCTGTAGAGGCAGTTTCCTCTTCAGCTATCACATGATGTCTCGAACGCCTCCTCTCTTCCTTCTCATCCTGTTCATCAAACCCCCCAACACAGACAGACACACAATCACTCGAAATTCACAAAGGGTCTCTCTGTTTGGCTTTTAAGCAGATTTTGGATTCCAATTAAATTTGTAGTAAGTTCAGGCCATGAGTCAAGGAAGTGATTAGTCTGTGGGGGAGGTCATTATCCAGGTGTGACCCCAGCAAATTTTTTAAACCATCTTTTATCTTTTATTTTTCAGTATTTTGAACAACTTAGGTGTTTTTAATTAACTAGGATGAATACTTGAGCATCTGGTACATTTGATGCCGTTCTGGATGCGGATCCAAATGTTAAATGTAAAAAAAAAAAAAATCTGTTATTAAAATGTAAAACTTTGAGGGTTTTGTAACTTCAGTGAATGGCGTCATGTATTTGTAAGATTTCATAATCTCAGCAAAACAACTTGTAATGTTTGAATCATGAATTACATTTCTCGTGATCCCAAGAAAACAAATTAAAAACATCTTCTTTGCCGATCATCGTCATCATTCATGCAGTCATACACTTTTGGGGGGAATCACAGATGGTGTTTGTTCTCTGCAAAATCTTGTTGACTTGTTGGTTTAGAAAATTCAAGATTCAGTCTGTTAAATCATCATGTTTTTGTACGTCAAAATATCTTGCACCAGGCATATTTGGTCAAAATATGTTTTTTGATACATTTTGTCAAATATTAAAATAAAGTATATACAAGTAGTATATATATGGATTGTTTCAGCAGCTGTAAATTACACATGTTGTGTTTTTTTCCCCGCTTCAAACACTTGTGTAAAACTTTGGACAGAAGCCAAAAAATACCACTTTGCCATGCCATTGACAACTGTGATTTTTTTTCTGATGTTTTCTAATGTTTGATAAATTCCCCACGTCCTTGAATATTTATAATAATAAACACGACATTATAGGCCACAATCATATTTCTGTCTTTCAGTTACCTCCTGTGATTTTGAGTCTCTGTGCCTCTGGAGTTCATCAAATCACAGCGACCAAAGTGACTGGTCGGTGGTGTCGCCACAGCAACCAGCAAGCGCACAGGCTGGGATGATACCTGTGACTGACCATTCAGTGGGAAGTTCTGATGGTAAGAGTGTGGAGAATTTCTGAGGAGAAATGAAATGAGGATACTGCTCATGCCATTTTCTTCTGTGATTGTGATTTAGAGAAAACCCAGTAATGGATCTTTAGACTTACTCAAAGCTCTTTGGATCAGTGCAATCTCTCTTGACATTTATTTTGATTTTGTGCTCATATGCCCAGCCTAAGATTTGTCTTAATGTTAAAGCATTCGTCAAGTGGTTTACAGGAGTGACAGTATCATGAGGCTCCTATAAAACTGCCAAACATAAAATTTCTACTCTGTTTTATTACCCTAGGACACTTCCTTCTCCTAACCTCCTCCCCTGCTGCAGAGGCCTCTGGGAAGTGTGAGTACCACTTAACCAGCCCAGTCTTGCCAGGAAGCGTCAGATACTGCGTCTTGCAGGTGGCTCTGTATGAGGCCGGTCCAGCGATGGGGAACCTCACGCTCCTGATCAAACCAGTTCACTCAGGTTCAGCTGTTCACTCTGTGATTCTCAACCACAAGAGACCTGACGACCGCAGGTCAGCAAACACTCAGTACATGCTCTTCATGCCTTGTTTGTACAGAATAGTTTATTTCTTTTTGAACTATTTATGCAGCACAACATGTCAATTTAATTAGTGTCAAAAAAGCTAAATCCTGCATCTTTTCTGATTGAAGTGCTTGTCAAACTGAGGTCTGGCCTATAAAATAAATCAAATGGGCTTAGATTCACTAAAATGGAAGGTGACTCGGGCATTCAGACAGACCAAGGGCACAGAAGCTAATACTTTTACTTCTGTAGTACTAAAGTTCAATAAAGAAAATGTTTCTTAGCTTTCATGTTGCACAAACTGTAGAATTGTGTCCACATGGGGACAGTGGTCCCCAGTGTATTGTTTGGCTAAATGGGAACAGGTATTTCCTATTGATCTAATGCTGAAGTACAGCCTTCTAAGCTAAAAGCATTCATGTCTCTAGATGCATACTCTGGAAATGAATTTATATATAATTGGTTAGGACATAAGAGGGATGGATGGGCATATGCAATAAGTTTGTACATTGGCTTTGTTAGTGTCTGTGCAGTAATGGACTGAGCAATTCCATTATGAGGCACACACAGCCAGTGGTTTTATTTATTCAGTCCTACTATTCATCCCATACCTCTCGTCCCACATGACACAGATTCTACTGTAGTTCTGTGTGTGATGTTTCACCTGTACAGACTGTTCTCAGAAGTCTAACAACTGTCCTAATTGGACATTTTTCCTGCAAAACAGGGGCTTAATGTTTTCTGGAAATAGCACCTAGATTGTATGCCTTTTTCCTAATTTCCCCTGTATGTTCCCAATAATGAAAAATTACTCACCCACTCTAATAAATGTGCAGTATTTTTAGTAATGGACAGGAGAGATGGATTTGTACTGTGTGTAAATCTTCAATGCCATCATAAAGCACTGACGTAACTGCATTCGGAGATAAATACCCGGTGGAGCTTTTGACCAATAGCAGTGTGGTAGAGAAATGTTTTGATGAGCTGTATTATTTGTTAATGTTGTGATAGGCATTTCGTCTGACTAAATATGGACAATGGTGGCACTGTTGTGCACAGATGCAATTCGCAAAGTGATATAAACAATGCAAGTTTTAAAGGACTAGTGTGTAGGATTTAGTGGCATCTAGCGGTGAAGTTGCAGTGTGTACTACCTATACAGCCAGTGTTTGGTTTGTCCTATCTGGGCTATTGTAGAAACATGGCGGTTTAACATGGTTGACTCCATAGAAGAGAACCCGCTCCCTCTGTAGATAGAAACGTCTCACTCTATGGGAAACTAACCTCTAATGAAAAATTCTTATTTTTTAGGTGATTATACTCTTATGAAAACATACCTATAAATATTATATTCCGATTCTGCCAATAGATCTTCCTAAATGTTACACACTGGACCTTTAAAACAGGCCAAACAGCCTTATGCATATCATGATATAAATATTGTGTTAAATCAGGTTGTAGAGCTGCAACTGACATCCATCAAAACCTTTTTCTCTTTCAGTTTGCTAATGACATTAGTGAATTTTATTAACCATGTTAGCTCAGTGATTGACTGCAGGTGACTATGGTTGCTTAGTGACAGCAAAGGGATGATACCAGGACAACTTGCCATGCAGGCTTTCCAAAAAAATAAAAATAAATGGTGTATCTTATATTTTTAAGCCTTTCTAAGTACTGATTGCAATGACTGTTTTTGTTGTTTAATGCATCTTAAAATGTATTCATACAAGCCAGTAATAAATGTGACTATAAAAGACATTTGTCTGTGATTGGTTGGTGTAGGGCTGAGTGGGAGGTTCTGGAGACTGTGATTGGTCAGATGGATGAGCCCTTTCAGGTGGCCCTGCTCTACACTTCCTGTATGGGGGAAAAGGGAGCCACTGTAGCTCTGGACTCTCTGGAGCTCATAGACTGTGAATCAGGTGAATATATCTTGGTCTATAGAGCTGTGACTTACTGACTTCTGTTCAAACCAAACCCAACATCAGCTGTTTCCCCTAATAAATACAACAAATCAGCAGTATAGTTTGTAAACTGGAAACCTGCTGACTGTTTCCACAGCAGCTGGAAAGAGAGACACTGAATATACACCTGTACAGTATATTGCAGTTCAATGCAACAGCCAGGCGATAACTTCTACCTTCACAATGCTCACAATGTTAAGTTTTTGTGTCAGAAATGTGTAAATTCAATTATATTGTTTTTTTATAGTGGTCATAGTTAAAGGGAGCATTATACTAGATTGCATTATTAAGAGGTGTTTATAATTTTTTCTCTCCCTATTTACATAAATAAGAGGCGCAGAGTATTATAAAGTACTCTCAATACAAAGTAGGCTTGCACTAACTATGACCTCAATAAAAACGTATAATTAACACCTCTATGCCAGTGACAACATTACAGGCATAATAAAAGTAGACTTTGCGGCGGCCGTATTAGATTGTACAGGCGTTCTTAATAAAGTGGCCACTGAGTGTAGGTGTGTATGTAAATTAAATCAGATCTGGTAGCAAGATAATCACCCAGATCACACACAAAATGATTTATAGTTGATTTTTCACATTATAAACAGGAAACACTGTATTCTTTGTTTGGCAGGTTGGTTAATTTTACTTGGTTTTAAAGCTGTATGTTGCTTTTGGGAAAACATTTTTGAAATGCATTTTGAAATCCAATCCGGTTTGTGGCAGTGAGTTAGATGCGGCGGAATATTTCTTGGCTGCTGCCAGGAAAACAGTGGAGACTCCAGGAAGTTCCTGCTCTCAGCCAAGAAATAGTCCAGCAAATAACCCCCTGTAAAACATAGAACTGTCACATTTACACTTTCTTTGTACTGGTTAAACAAGATACCAGGTGTAATTTAGTGAGCTTAAAGGATCCTTGGCAGTTGGATTTTGTTGCCTTGAGCCAGGCTACCTGTTTTCCCTTGATGTCTTTGTGCTAAGCTAAGCTAACTTGGTGCTGAGTGTAGCTTGTATTTAACAGCTATGAGATCGATGTTGATTTTCTCATCTTACACTCGACAAGAAGTGAATAAGCAAGTTTCCAAACATTTAAAGAAACATCCATTTCAATCTCGGGATTAAATGACTTCCAATTATGTACATCTTTTTTGCTAATGTGTTCAGGTTAGTTCTCCATGATACAGAGGACATGAGATAACAGCCTTTTGTAATTGTTGTGTGGTGTCCGTGATGCAGAACACCAGGTCATCGAGCTGGATGGAGGATGTGGGGAATCTTTCCACTGTGAAAACTCAGGAGGCTGCATTGACCAGAGTCAAGTGTGCAACTTCCACACTGACTGTTCATTAGGAGAGGATGAGGGCTTCATCTGTGGTGAGGTTTTGATTTTATCTCAGTAAAATTACACTATGCAGGATCTGATTCGTGTCCTTCAATTTCTATTAGTAACACTTGAAAATGTACTTTTGCAGTTAGCTTGAGAGGTTTCCCCTTGTATGATGATGAATATTTATATTTGATCTGCACCATTGGACTGATTGGACTGAGAGTGGGCGTGTGAAAACAATATGAAAGCAAAAGCAGTGCTTCTGTTTGTGTGACTGTGTGTGGAGAGTGAAGTAAAGCAGCCACTGGCAGGCTGTAATCCATTTGCATTAGCTGTATTAAAGTTTAGATCCATGATAAATTGTTAATCCTTTGACCGGAGGTACCAAATAATTCTATGCCAAGGGCCTCTACACAATAAATTTAAAGTGCAGGAAGTAACTATTATGAACCTTTAAAGTGTGAAGCCTTAGTGGAGCTTCTGCATCAAAATGTTCTCATCAGCTAGTGTGTTTCTTCTTCATTAGCAGAAAATTATTTTATTGTATCATCAGGAATTTGATATATGCTTTGTTTTTTAAAGTTTTCATCTTGAAACCATGCCTTTAAAATATCAAAACATAAAGTATTCAACAATTTATCATAATATGATTCACCCCTTGTGGATTTATTAGTGTTTTGAATTCTCACATTTGAAAAAATATGCTGCAGACAAAAGTGTGTTTTCAGACAGTCAGTACCTTTCATTTCCTCCCTGACTTGACAGTCTGAAATATGGCAAGCATCCTGCTTCTCTCTGAAAACATCAATCACTCAGTGGAAAGAAAAACACTTCACCACACTGAAATTCAAAAGGCCTCGCTTCAGTCAGTAATGAAATCAATGAAGTCAAGGCTATTTAGAGTCTTTGAGTTGTGGATCCCCGGGGGAAAGGAGCTGGGTCACAGTGATGGTGTAATTTTTTCGATGGCCCACTGGTAAAATCTATCCTAAGAGTCATAAAGTACTCTCTTAAGGGACACTCCACCACTTTATATAACTGGCTTTTTTTGTCATCTTAAGATCAGATGAAAACATTGATATCATATTTAACTCTGTGTCCAGATACATGGAAACAAGTGTTTTTTTTTTGTGATTTCTATATAAATTACTCTCTCCACAAAAATGTTTTTTAACGTACACAAAATTATCTAGCTTTGTATAGAAATGTTAAAACAATCCACACACAAAAAAGGTTCCCAAATGTTTTTCTGATGCTCACACAAACATTTCATGCTATATATAAATGTAATATAAATCCCTAAATATATGAATTTAAAAGAATTTGCAATTTTTGTTGAAACATTTGGATATTGTTACATTAATATACCATTGAACCTGAATAAGCACATTTCTCAAAATGTTTAACTTTTTCTTTAAAATGTGTAGACATAGAGAATTAGGTATTGTGGTGATGTGGTAGTTTAAAATATGTTAGCCGAGTGACTCTTGGATGTTTTGTTAACTAGCCTGCCAGCTAATATGAATCAACATGAAATAAGACAGGTTTGGAGTTGTTGGAAGGCACCCCACTTCAAAGTTGGCAATTTTCCCCTGCTTTCAGACTAAACACACCAGCTTTTCTTTTACTGGATGCAAAGAGATTTCTTATGTATTGTCTCATGTGACTGTAAGGCGCCAAACAAGCATATTTCCTACAAAGTCTGGAAGAGGTCAGAGCGCTCTAACCTGCCGATACAGTGTAGCAGGCATATCATAGAATCCAGATAGTATGAAGTGTGGAGAGTAGGAAACATGCACACAAGCACACAGACTAAAACTGATTTTCTAATTAAGAAATATAGTACCCATTGAAGTATATTATTTGTGCTAATCTAATTTCTCCAAAAAGGGGAATCAAGGGGGGAAGGATCGACTTTTTAACAGCTGTGATCTCTGTTTTAGTGAAATATGACAACAATCTTCCTCCTCCCCAGATGCTCTTCCGTTTGGCTCATACTGTTCATTTGAACGGGATGCGTGTGGTTGGTCTGTGTCCAACCGGCACGCAGCCTGGAGAAGGGTCGCTGGAGACGAGCTTCTGGAGAAAGAAGACATGCAGGGAGTCACTCTGCAGAGTACACCAGGTTAGCTGTGTGTGTGTGTGTGTTTGTGTGTGTGTGTGTGTGTGTGTGTGTGTGTGTGTGTGTGTCTGTGTGTGTCTGTGTGTATGTGTGTGTGTCTGTGTGTGTGTGTCTGTGTGTATGTGTGTCTGTCTGTGTCTGTGTGTGAGTGTGTGTCTGTATGTGTGTGTGTGTGTGTGTGTGTTATATTTCTGTATGTACAATAATTAATAACAGCTGTTTTTATGACTCTGTCCTCTGTAGGAGTATCGCTCAGAGAAGTCTCTAGAAGAGCTCGGGAAGCTGGTGCCTCCAGAATGTCACTGGTGAGAGATTCCTTCCTCCTCTTCCTCCTCTTCATCCTCCTCTTCTGTGGTTAATGTGACAAACATCAAACCCAAATATTCTCTCAGATTCTGTGAGGGATGATGCCCGGCGAGGTGTCCGTTATCAGGAATAAATCTATTCATTCCTGATAACGGACACCTGAGTGTTTCAATAAAAAAACGGAAGCTTTTTTACAACCCATAACTCCGTTTCCATGGTAACGCCTGAGGTCCCTAATACCTAATTCATGTGGGAGGATCTCTTACAGAAAGTACGAGTGAGTTCAGAGAAGCAGTGAACAGATTCACTGGAACTACTCAGTGTCCTACATCAGGAAGTAATGGACAGCCAGCAGCCAATCAGAGTCCAGTATTCAGCCAGACCGTGCTGTAAAAAGTCGTAAATGTGTAAAAACAAGAAAAGAAGAAGATTTTCTAGCTAATAAATGAACCGAAATACATTCACAAGTATAATGAAACAGTCCAGCAGTGCAGTGTGTTATACAGGTCTAAATAGACAGAAATTATTAACGATAGTATTATAAAAGTATTCAGAAATCAATCTACACCACAAAGATAAAACATGCCATCTTAGAAACAATGAGCTTCTACTTTGTTTGTTTTAAAAACAGTTTTTTTTTCCACAAAATAAATATCTAATATCTCTAATATAACAACTTTAAAGGGAGATATTTCACTCAGACCATCTGAAGGTTGACAGAGACAGAAAATGTTCCTTCAGTCTCGATTTACATTTCAAATAACAGCAGACTGAAGAAACAGCTGCTCCTTTACCTGGCAGACTGCACACACACACACACACTGTAACACACACACACCGCTGTGTGACAGCAGGGCTGTAAGCGGAGAAGGTCTCGTGTTGTGGTTGAACAAACAGCAGCAGATC